CCTGAAGGTTCACTGTACATCCCAAATCAGCCACCTTTCACTAAAACAGGAAGAAAAGGTCAAGTGCTCACCGCGATAGGCCTCGGCAGGCTTGCTCAGCTCCTCCAAAAACTCATCCAGATGCGGGAAATGTTTCGCCACCGTACGTTCCAAGAAATGTAACAGCGTCGTATTATTCACGCTCTTAGTATCCACCAGCTTGTTGATACTGCTCACTCTGAACCCGAACGCTCCACCCTTAATCCCCGAACCGTTCATGTAGTTCCCGATCAACAATATCAGGTTCAACAATTCCTTGAAATGGTTCGCATCGAGTAGCGAACGACCCGCTTCGGCCAGTTTACGCGCCGAATCGTCCAGTAATGTCCATTGCTCGTCGAATTTGAGCTTGTAGAGCATGTTCTCGATACGTTGACCGAGTCTGTCGATTTGGATGAGTTTGACCATGAGTCGATCGGCAGGGTGTAAACCCGCGAGCTCTTCCGGTTCGGCGTTGCGGTAGATATTGAGCTTGCCGATCTAACATAACCCCCATTCGTCAATACCCAATGCATCGTGAAAGGATGGGACAAACGCACCTGCTCAGGCGTAGGCACAACATTCTTCAACCCACTCAAAAAAGTCTGCGTACAAACCTCCGAATCGAAATCCCTAATCTTCAACGCGATCTCCTCCGGAGCCAACCTCTTAACCTTATTAACCAAGATCTCCAAATTCTTCTTGGTAGTCGGGTCCAAAACGCTCTTCAACTCCGCCCTCTTCTGTCTCGCCAACAGATTTAAAACTAACTGTTTAGCCTTGAAATCCTCTTCCATCTCGGCCCAGATACTCATTTCGGAAAGCTTGGCGAGCATCTCGCGTTCTCGTGAGTTTTGTGTTGAGGGGTCTTCGGACCAGACGGTACGGGAGGTGGCGGCGACGGGGAGTTTGTCCCATTGGAGTTGTTTCATCTTGGTACCGGGCGTGAAAGGCATGTCTTTACGGGCGTGCGCGGCCATGAGCGAGGAAAGGTTCGCGCCGAGGAGCATGCTGCCGCGTGTTGAACCTGGAGGTGTGAATGCGGGCGGAGGCGGTGGTGGAGGGGGCGCGCCGCCGAGCGTGGGCGCTGAGGCAGAGGCTGATAGGAACTTGGCGCCACCTGGCGGAGGAGGTGGTGGGGGTGGTGGCGGAGGTGGCGGAGAGAATGCACCGCCCGGTCGAATGGCACCTGGAGGCGGAGGAGGTGGCGGCGGTGGTGGAGGAGGCGGGGGCGGTGGCGGCGGTGGCGGAGGTGGTGGTGCCCCAGAACCGTCCGCATTGGCAGGAGTACCCTCCTCTGGCAACGAAGGCAACGGCGGACTGCCGCTTCTTCTCTCTCCGGCGCCTCCCTCCTTCGTACCAGGCGCCTTGCCCAATCCACGTGCTGCAAACTGCTTGGACAACTGTTCTGCAAAGCTACCTGGTGCACCCTCCCCAGAACCAGCCACAGACGCGATACTCGTAGCAGTCGTATCCTCCGTCCGACTCGTAAAGTTAGACACAAGACTCTGCTCGTACTCGCTCTCCTCATCATCGTCGCCGCCGGGTCCACGTCCATAACCAGCGCCAACCCCCGCAAAGTTCTCAGCCGTGCGCGGCGCGGGCGCCAAAAGCGTCCCTGACGCGCTTCGCTGTTGTTGGCCCTGGGCGCCTGGAAGACCCGGCAAACGGCGTTGACCGGGCCGTGGCGACCGATTGTGAAGCGAGCGCGGTGAAGCAATATCGTCCCTCGGCGCATATATCTTGACGCCCTGAGCGAGTTGAGCCTCGATAGCCTCCTGCACATCCGCATCGTCCGCATCCATAAACTGACTCTGCCTAACGCCCTCTCCCATCCCTCCAGGTCCGCCATTCGCACCGTTAAGGCCATTAACGCCCTTCTTCCCCTTGCCTCTCGCTCTGGAAAGTGATGAACCGCGTCCGGTACCAGGCGTAGCAGTCTCCTCATCGCTATCTTCCTCCCATCCACTATCCCCCTGTCCCATCTTCCTCCTCGCCTTCCTCGGCACCTGTGGCGCCTGTCCATCCCTCCCCTCCAACTTCTCAATAGCCTTATTCCTCTGTAAATGTCTCTCGAGCGTCTCGACCAACGCTTTCCGATCCATCCCACTCCCACCTCTAATAACTCCATCCTCCATACTCGCGCTCCCACCACTCAACCCCGTAGCCACCGAATCGAGTAAAGCACCCAATTCGCCAGCTTGCGCTCCGCCGGCGCGTGCGGCTTCGCGTAACATCCGGAATAGTTCCATAATCTGGGCTTCGAGCTGAGCGATCTGTTCCTCGTACCCCTCTCGTTGCTCAACGAGTTGAACCTGCAACCTCTCCACATTCTCCCTCGCCCTCTCCAACCTCTCCTCCGTGCCCTCCAACCTCTCCCTAAGACCCCCCTCCGGACCCATAGACAACTCAGCCCTCAAAGCGTCCCTTTCCATAATAGCCCTCTTCGCCTGAGCTTTGGCGTTCGCGGCCGCTTCGTTCGCTTGTCGAACTCCCTCGGCATCATCGAATTGAGCTATTATTCTCTCGACTGATTGTCCCAGTTTACCCTCCGCACCACCTAGTTTTCGGTCCATTACTACATCCGTGACTAGATTATCGAGTAGCTTGAAGTGATGCGAGAGTGTTGGGCCTTCGGCGCGGATGAGTAACATGTGCCGCAACATCGAGAGCAAATGCTCTTCGGCTGGTGTTCCGGCTGTACGAGCTGCCAATGCAGCGTACACATCTGCGGGCGAAGCGAGATCTTTAAGCGCTTCTGCATCGTATCGCGCTCGAAGTTCTGCCGCATCGCGCTCGAGTGCGTCGTCGAGAAGGGAGAGCTGTGTATCGAGAGCCGGTACACCGAATGCCGCGCATAATGCTCTGAGTCGGGGTAGACCAGCCGCGTCCATTTGAGCCGCCAGATGCAATCGCACGTCGATATCGTCCGTATTGTCCAGTATGGCATTGATCAGAATCAACGTGCTCAACGCATAATCGTTCAAAGATCCATCACGGTCCGCACGTCGAACTTCATCGCTCGCTCCAACCATACTTCCCATCTTGCCTCTTCCAGCCAAAGCATGTTCTGTCGAAGCGAACCAGTAGGTGAATGGTGAATCGTTCGATTGTGCGGGTGCTGGGGTGGGTGTGGAGGAGTTTGATGAGGTTAGGGCGGAGAGGGCTGAGATTACTAGGTTGAGGAAGGTGCCTTCGTTATGGTATGAGAGGCCGGTGAGAAGTTCGAGGAGGAGACGGCGGGTGCCGAGGCGAGGGGAGTTGAGGGAGGAGGCGAGTTGGGTTACGAGGAGCGGGTGGGCGAGGGCTTCCGTTGTCGCATACTAAATTATAATTAATATCGCATAGAGAAGAACGAAAGAAATGGACGAACCGAGTAATTGAATATCTGCTTTATGCACTGCACGACCTGATACTCGAGCGCATTATCCGCGTCGTATCGAGAGGCGCCCTTCTTGCTGATATGTGCCAAAGTCTGAGCAAGCACAGGTGTACCCCTCAGCTCTACAAAGAGCCTGAACCACTCGAACGGATTACTCCTCAAACAGATATGCAGCGCGCCTGCTTGCTGCGGCGTGACTGTCTTGTCGAGGAATTTGCGAATATACCACGCCGGACTACCCTCCTCTGCGCTCGCAGCGGCACTGCTCGCCTGTTTCCGTCTGGAACGCTCTTCTTGCCACCGCAACTGCGCGTCCGAGCGAACGAGATGCCACTTCTGGTCGATCGGCAGCGCAGGCATGACGCCCAGATCTCGTGTCCTCAGTAACTCCTCGAACAACCTCTCGACCTCGTCGTCCCCCGGCCTTTCCAGATGAAATTCATTATCCGCTCCCCTCCCCAAGTTATGCAGATGCAAGGCGTCCGAGCCTGATGATATGACCGATACAGCGTACCGCGACGCACGATGACTGTCCGGCGCCGAACGGGCCGTAGCAGTCGACATCGGTCGCGGACTCGACATGTGGCTGCTGCCTGCTCCCACCGCAGGCGAAGATGGCACAGGCGGCGGCGGCGTCCTGCGCCCACCGAGCGTAGCATGTTCGCTCGCTCTCAGTCTTCTCGCCCTTTGATCGCCCAAAGCCTCCATACTCTCGCTCGTACTCGTCTCGCTCCCATTATACAAACTCTTATGCGGACTCTGGTCACGAGTCTTGCCATATATACGTTCTCGAGCGTGCGCCATGGTTCGCACGTTCAAGTCGGTGCCGTTGTCGGTTAATCCTGGATTGGTGATCGGGGCCGAGATGAGCTTGCCTGAGCCTCCGCCGCCGGCAGTGGAGGGTGGACTGCCGGGTGCGACGCGCTCGTAGGGTACGGCACGGAGCTCGCCATTTGTTCCTGATGCGGTAGATACAGAGGATTGGCGAGGGCGCGATTTGCGGTTGCGCCCGAAGAGCGAGTCCATTCAGGACGGTGGAGGTGGTGGAAGGTGATCAAACGGCGTTAGCGGAACCTCAAGTCGCGTCTGGCTTGTTCAACTTGGCTCTTCCCACCATACCCGCGCGTTCTTTCTCGTCGACCCTGCGCTATACGATGCACAGCTCGGGTTTGGCTTCGGCGGCGCTGCGACTTATGGGCTGCATGATACCTGCAACGACCGATTTCGACCGTGCGAAAGTGCTAGCATCGAGACAATAAAGCAGCCGAACTTCTGCCTCCGGGTCGCTTCAGCAGGCTTCTTCGTCGCCATCCTTGACGACCATTGTGCAACGAGCAGGTTTTTCTTCTTCGAATCATCTCCTCTCAGGCTACTTGCGGGATAGGACAAAATCTTCCTGTGGCTCCCATCGCGCTTTGAGCGTGTACTCTCAAGAAGAACGCAGCGGAGATCGTCCTGCACAGCACTAAGGAATACCCTCGTAGTCCTACAGCCAGCAGCTGTACACATAGCGCACGTCTATGCCATCCTGTATAAGTAATACATCTCCCCGCTAGTAATTCCCGGGTCAATGATCTGGATACGTGCGGGTACATGACACCCTTCGATAGCTCAGTGGTAGAGCGTGAAACAGCTGTAACTGGATATGAATACTGTTGATTCAAGGTCGCCAGTTCGATTCTGGCTCGAAGGAATGTGTCATCGTTATTTTGGGGTTTCTGGATGGCATGAGCATGGAATGCATTGCTTCCTCGCGAGCAAGCTCGAAACCGTTCCGATCTGAGGATCTTCTCCCCCCCACCCCTGCGTGCGCTTTCATTGACTTGGGCGTTCAGTACAGTGGCATGGCCCTACTTTCTCGAATCTATGGTTCTTTTGCTAATGGATGTACATACAGACATGTCAGCGTACTCGCCGCAAAACATATCCAGTTCCAACTAAGCTCATGCGATATATACTGAGCATCCCTTCGATAGCTCAGCGGTAGAGCGTGGAACAGCTATTGAGCAATACGATTGGCAGTGTTGTTTCAAGGTCGTCGGTTCGACTCCGGCTTAGAGGAATCCATAGGGAGCATGCGTCTTTTGGTTCAATGGTTGTCTAGATGGCAAGGTCATTGGGATGCATTCGTCGCAAGTCGCGGGCCGATGCTCGGCCCGGTCCAGCGCGACCTCTCTCTTCGGGCTACTGCTATGTATCAAGTACGCAGGCTTCGCCTTTACTCCCGTGTGGTCTTCTGTTAACTCGGTTTTCGCCCTGTAGATGTATACAAGTTCAAGTCGCTGACACACGATCATGTTCGTGCCACACCCAGCACATTGCACCCTTCGATAGCTCAGCGGTAGAGCGTGGAACGTCTATAGGTGCTATGAAAGGCGTTTGTCCCAAGGTCGTCGGTTCGAATCCGACTCGAAGGATAGCGAGGCAATCCCGACTTTTTGGTTTGGAATGGAAGCCGAGCTTCGTGACGGCGTTCATGCCTCCACGCGCCTCATCGATCTGTCACTCAGACGCGCGCTATCAAATCCGCCTTCAAGAATCTACCATCTCTGTCCCGGTCGAACTACGCAGACTTTGAGATTCGTTGGTTTGTTCTTCATCTCATACAATCACCGGCGGACACAGACACAACCCTTCGCTAGCTCAACGGTCGAGCATGGAACAACTGCAGCATGATTGTTGATCCAGTGGCGCCGGTTCGACTCCGACGCGAAGGAATCTTCTTTATCGATGAACTTTTCTTGTCTCGATTGAAAAGGGGGGGTTCCTTCGTAACTTTCGCCGTCGTGGACGGCGGTGTCCTCCTTTCTTTGGCCGGGAATATTGCCGTCGCATTGTCAAGCGCCGCCATACAGCTACTCCATAGACACACTACCCAGACTCGTGGTGCGATAGCAAGCAGATGGAGCAGGCAGGTCTAGTGCTGTTAACAAGACGTACTTCCATTCTTTGATAGCTCAGTGGTAGAGCGTGGAATGACAATATCGTTTGACGTGTCGCAAATTTGTTCCAAGGTCGCCAGTTCGAATCTGGCTCAGAGGAATCCACGATCAACGTGTCCTTTTTGGCAGGAAAGAATGCGTAGTCGGATTGGGACTCGAAACGCCGTGACATTGACAGCTTGCATGCGACTGTTACCTTTTCACGTGCGATGACACCAAGATTCTTGAGTACGGGATTCAATTTTCAGAGCTTCCTTTCTAAGACTCTTTGCCGTACACAGACACGAATACGTATGATGATGCTCTAGATGTCGTAGACCAACGTCAGACAGTCTGGCGCTGACGGACGCCGCGGCGACGGCGTGCGCGACGCGTTCAACTCGCGTGACCGCGAAACCCTATACTCGAATAAGCATATGTCTGCCTCAGCCTGGCGCGTTTGCTATATCATATCAAGGTCAATGGAGACGATCAGATGTTATTGCAACATCGTGCGGCACGGCGCGTCGCAGAAGTACACGAGCACAATGGACGCGGTCCCTGTGAAGGTCGATGGGCGTTTGGGCGCCCCAAGCCATCACGCGGGATGCGCGCGAACAACTTGCTTTTGACCCTCATCATCTTCACGCTCTCATCAGGGATCACAGTATACCACGATTTCATCACCCTGACATGCCTTCTGCTCGTAGGCGCGTAGACAACGTGATGGAGCTCGAAGAAGAGAATGTTCAATCGGTGCGCAAAATCAGTATTGCGGTCCGGCACTCGCTAATGGCGTGTTCAGGACTATACAAAAACCTTGCCTACTGAACTATTGCGCGTCATATTCTACTTCCTAGCTTCGAGCGATCCCGCGCGTCTCGTCGATGCCCCCAAAAACTCTCCCGAGAGAGCTATTCGCAGGAGCACGCGCATCAATACTGGATTATCCACTTCTTGGCGACTTCGAGGCTGGTTCGTCGTCGCGCACGTTTGCGCTCGTTGGCGGGCGCTTTCACTTGGACAGCCTGCTCTTTGGACTGTCATTGATATCAATCTTGGCCCCAGCTGGGTGGACGCATTCATCGCGCGCAGCGACCCATTGCCTTTCGTATTCCAAACCAAGCCGAAAGGATCCGGTTATAACAAGCACCACGCAGCTGCTCGCGATCTCACTTTCAACAAGACTCTCCGTGAACATGCTTCTCGCATGGGGCAACTCAACGTCGACGCAGAATACCTCGCATCACGACGTGATGACTTTAACCGCTACACCACTGTTCTCCCCGACCGTTTCTTTCGGCAATACCCTGTTCTCGAGGTCCTTACCATACACGGAAGTTCTATAAGCTCAGATATGAATTCTTGGGCATCATTCAGCGCCCCTCGAGTACAAAAGTTATCTCTGAACGGCGTCAAAACGTTTCCCTGGGATCTTCCCGCTCTCTGGCGCATCACCCACCTCGTCGTGAGGTCAGGCATGCTCAGCAATACCGAAAAGGTCAACATGGAAGCTTGTCTGGCTAAGATGCCCTCTTTGAAGCAGCTCTATCTGGACGGCGTCCTCCCTGACAACAGGACGGACCGCACGCCACGCCTCCCTCACATCCAGCGACTCGGCCTCCGTGATGCGGGACGCCGCTTACAGGCATTCTTGCAATATCTTGACGCGCCTTCTTTACGTGCCATAGATTTCACTCATCTTGCCGGCTATTCCGACAACCATATCCCATTCGATACACTGATGTCCTCGGCGCTTGCTCACGTTCCTGCCACGAACTTTACGGATCTCACGGTCGTCCGATCGATGCATTATCCCCGAGTTCATATCTCATTACGGGCTTGTGAAAGTGCAGAAGATGTTGGGCTGCTCCGCACATATTCTGACGGGTATACCTCTGGGGGCAATGTGCTGACTTGTCAAGCGAGTCTTAGCGACATAGACACGAGCTTTCTCGCGCTTGATGACGCGGTTGGAGAAACTGGCCGTCATATACTTGAACTTTCGTCCACAGCAAGATCGATCGCAGCCGGGGCCACTCCTGAGTCGGTGTCCTTGCCCTTCCCCAATGTCCAGACCGTGCGCGTGATTGGCGATTGGAAACCCCAGGAGATCTCAGAGTCATTCTCGACAATGACTGGCGTCAAACACCTCCGCCTATACGATCCCGCTTCCTTCTTTGCATTTTCTATGACCATTGGTGATTCCTCGTCAGGGCTACTATTCCCTCAACTCGACACACTCTCGATCGCGTACAGCGAAGCTTCTCAGGCACAGGCATGGGTTAGGTCGCGCTATCCAGGATATGGTTCGCGAGATACTCAGGATCCCTCGCCATACGCTCGGTTGGATAACCTGGTCAACGCCCGCGTTAGGATAGAGAGACCACTTCGCGCCATATATTTCCATCAGGCTGACGCTTTTATTTCTGCTATCCGCGAACATGCGTCTTTCACAGGCGCGGATTGCTCCCTTGTAGTAGACTTGATTCAGGAGGACCAAGGAATGAGGAGGTGGTGTGACTCGGAGAAGAAGCAATACCAGTCGAACGATCCGAGGTGGTGTTGATCGGGAGGCCCTGCTATGTATCAGTTTGTATGCATATTGTTGTTGTTGCAAATTTAGAGTGTACGCAGTAACCATGCTAGTCTGTGCGCCAATGTTCATAGACTATCGCTTCGAAGAGTACCGCATACTGTGATTTATGGTAGGCGACACATTAATCAGGAACGGGTCTCCCAATAGGGTACAGCAAACGGCCTCTTTCCACCTACAGAATAATGCATGACACCTGGCATTACTATACTTGTGCGGCTGGGGAGTGCCAGTTGACAAACGCTTCGTGGTGGCGTTGAGATCGTGAATGTAGTACCGAATACGGCATGTCTGGAAGTATATGTGTCTTCGTGTCTCAGTGACTGTAGCGTAGCGGCAATATTCTTCTTTGGGCTACAAAGGAAGTGCCGTCAAAGGATATCATCCGTACACATGGACCTACAGACGCGCCCATGTGATCGCGGTTGAACAGCACGACACGTTTTGAGCCCAAACCACCACGAGCGGCCATGGCATCGCGATCAGATGTGCCGGAACAGGCACCGCAGATACTCGTTGACGAGCTGCTTGGTTTCTCTCCGCATCTTCTCCTGGACGACATGATTGACGTAGCGAACACGGCCGTAGGACAGGCTGTGGAAGCTATGGAGAAGCAACTCGAGCGCTGGGCCGCTGCTTACAATACCTCTGCTACTACACCCAACTCTTCTGGAAAGAAGAAGGATCCTTTGACTCCTGAGGAGCAGGAGCAAGAGATTGAGCAGGGCATGGTTGCGTTCCAGACATTGATCGAGTTCCATACCGACGTTGCTTTCGACTATCTCGAGACCTGGAGTTTGCGCAATATCTTCACGTTCAACGCGGAGCTGGTACCGAAGATTGTTGTACCACATCAGGCTGGACTGAATCTGGAGACACGTCCGCAAGAGGAAGCCGAGCTGCTCGCGGAACTTGAAGAGCTGCGCGCACAGATAGATAACGTGCGTCTGAACTTTGCAGGCTGTACTCCGTGCTGACAAATACAATGACCTCAGCAACGGAAGTTGAAACGGGCAGCTAAACGTGCGGCTCGCATCACTTCTCTCCAAGCTTCCCTTCATGAGCGGCGACTCGCACGAGTAACCGCTCTGCGCCTTCCAAATGCCCAAACTCTGCAGGCTCTTCCAGATACACTTGCTGATCTCCGAGCTGCGGCCGAGGCATTGCCGCCTATTACTGTCACGCGCGAAGGACCGACACCGGGCAAGCGCTTATGGGAAGATGGGCGCGACGGGTTCGTGCGATGGACTGCGGAGCGGCTCGTGAAGAAGATCGAAGGCGAGGAAGGGCTCATGCCTGGTTTGGACGCCGATAAGAGGGACTTGTCGCGTGCGTTGAAGGCGTTATAAGTATCTTCTATCTTGCTATCAGGTATGTCTGCTCGCTGTAATGATTGCACGGAAGCTGACTCCCATTACAGTATTCTCATATGTTAATCTCGTTTTGTCATTGCTTTTTGTATAACAACGCTAATCCCGGAGTCTTATGCTATACCCGCACTGGATACATCGCGCTCGTGCCGCATCCTGTCGGAAACATGCAGTCTCGCCGCGTCAAACCCTTCGACTGTTACTCCAGGCGTTTCCTTGACGTCGGCGATGCTCATCATGCCGCCTTTCTCGTCTCTACCTTCTCTCGATGTCTCAACTGGCCGGAAATAACGTGCGACGTTCTAAGATAGAAACATCAGCCATTACTCTCTGTCTATGCATGGTTCAACTTACCAGGGCACACGCGAGCACGGTATACAAGAGAAGGCCTGCGCTCACTACTACATAGTTGCCCATCGCTCGACTCCATGTCTGAGGCGCGCAAGCGCGGCAACGCGACCCTTCGTACCACACCAAGATGCTACCATAGACGAACCACCCAATTGGTATGAGCGCAGTTCGGCGCAGTACCCATAGCGGTAAGTAATCCCTGAAGTTCATGCGCCTTCAGTAACTCATGACCGGGCAATATGAAGATAGGAACACCACGCACTCGAGCATGATTGCTCGTACGAGCAGCGCGGCGCTTGCATGAAGCAGCGTGCGCCATCCTAAAGCCCATATCTCCAACTCGCCACACAAGTCCCACTCGCTCGCGCGCACGATTGTCGGACTCGGTGGCGAGTTGCGAATACTGTGATAGGTTGAGATAACGTCCCAAAGGACCTGTGCATGTCGTTCAGATGGGCAACTCCAAATTCTCTAGGATAGCGAAACGGCGCACGGAGAGCGACACGATCGCGACCAGGACGCGGTAGGATACTCGTGAGCTATCCATGATGGTAGTGGTCACCGCTGGCGACTCTGGGGTACTCACCGGGCTTTATGTGTACCACGGGCCATCGTTGATTGGAACTCGAAGAGCACCATGCGCAGCTTCCTCAGATAACAGTGTGAGTTTGCCTGTCCTTCCAGGCTGAAATGCTGCGAAGGATGGCCAAAGCGGGACGGAACCGAGCGCTCATGAAGCACCTGGTGAATGACCTGGCGCCTCGCCACCTTCCTTGCCGCGTTGAATCCGCAACATGAAGCCAT